GTACCAAGCGCCGTTACCTGATTGTAGCATCAGGGGCGCCCCATCAAGTACGAACCAGCTCGCTATCGAAAGGAACTTCCACATCTCGTCCATCATCTCGTCTGGGTCGTTGTGCGGGTCCACCCCCTAACCTGTCGAATCTCTCAGCTTGATGTAGTGAATCATCACCAGCTTGTGGAGCTCCCAGGCCACTCATGTCCCGGAAGGTCCGCTTGTGGGTGGTCGCGCCGAGCTCCTCTCTGAGAGCCTCCAGCTCTCCAGCCAAAAGCTCCTTCGCGATCTGCTCCTCGGAAGTGGCATGTCTACACTGCTCGAAGTTCGCTTCCACAATTCACCTTTCATTGAAATCCACAAGCTCGGAGTATCCGCCGCCAAAAAAAATCCAGGACCGACCCAAACAGGCCTCAGGAGTCATCGCGGGCTTGCGCTTCCTCACATTCGGCTCTCGATAGACATTGACATAGACCGTCTCGCCAGCCGAGAATTAACTTGCACGCGGCTCCTCCATTCTTTGCCTTGGACAACGCAACCTCAGTCTGTGACTTGATGTATGCCTCCTGCGCCGCCGCCCTAATCTCCAAAGTCTTCTTCATGTCGTTGTTTGTGCTGGCCACTACCAGAGAAGGGTCTAGATTATCGTCGGAAAGAAGACATCCAGACAGTCGAAGGTTGTGACCAATCTGTCAGATAGGAGAAAATCCGCTACTGTTTCCACATCTGTTTTTGGCACACTCCACGGCATACATGAGAGTTTTAATCTCCTCCTAGGATCCGATGTAGGTGTTCTCGCGAGGGCGCCTGCGCGCTCCGTTTTCCCAGCTTGCCACGACGACCCTGTTGCCGTGTGGCGTATGAGGGTGCCCGCCTGGGATGTAAGATCTGCAAACTGTCCACGAAATTCAGAGCCTAAGTCTGCAACTATCACATCTGGAACACCGAAGGTTCGGCACCAGACACTCATGAAGGTGCGCCATGTGTGGGTCGCCTCGGTGGACTTCAACCTCTCAACAGCCTGGTAAGAGGTTCCCCAGTCGGTGACATTCAGTGTCGGGAAGGTCGCTCTCCGATTAAGTGCACTGAGGAAGATCACATCCACACCCACAACATCTTCGGGAGGATCGCCGGGCTCGCCGGCTTCGGCTTGATTCTCGCATTACAAAGTGGGCAACGAAAGTCGCGAGCCACGTAGCGAAAGATGTGGGGCTAAGGGATCTTGCCATCTCACATGGAGCCGGGTGGCCGAGGTTATCGTGCAACTTCTTCACAAGCTGCTTCTCCTCGACAGTAGTCTCCCATTCGGCCTGCTCCACAGAAGGTTCTAACTCAAAGTCCCCATCCTCGTTGGCAGCCTCCGCTTGATCGTCCTCTTCCTCCGCAAACACCGAAGAAAACTGTCCAACGCCTTCACGGTGGCTACCATCAAACATGTAAACCACATTGTCTTGGGGCAACCGGAACCCAAGCTCCCCTAGCTCTCGCAAAGTTCCGCTTGACGCAAGGTCCACCGCTCGAGAGGTAAAGGCGCTGATGACAATGTGTTTGCCAGTCCATTTGCAAGGCACGTGCCATCTTCTCGGGTCAAACTCCATCATCTTGTACTTGATGTCGTGGCTCTCTCCCACAACTCGGGCTCCTTGTGGTGCCCACTTCCAGCTGCACTTAGCCGAAGATGAAAGTTGCGACTCCTCATTTTCAAAACATAACTCACCGCCAGTGTAGCTGCCCACCCCAAAGATGTAGTTCTTGGAATGGACCTTGTTGTGATGGTCCTTGTGAGGTCGGCTTCCAGCACTCACCCCAAGCGCAATAGACGACCACGTAGCGTGCTTGAGCCCCTGGCATTTGGCTTGGTAGCACACCAGCTCGTTCAAGTATCGAATGAAGTTGGCCAACTGCCTGGAAGAATTTGTGGCCCCATACTTCGCGCTATGCGCATAGAGGCCGAAAAGGTAGCAGGTGCCCTGCATGTCGCTTTGGCGACTCTTGACATACAGCTTTGGGAACTTGACCAGAAACTTCTCGAGAGACACCATTGAGTAGTCCTTCTGCTTCACCAACCGACTAGCCATTTCCTCAACCTCAAAGAATTCTGAGGTAGAGGCAAAGCATTCCACTTCTGGCAAAAGACTCCCACCGTGCTCCTGACAACAATCTAAGACCCCCACCGTGCTCCTGACAAACATCATAATGAACGACGACCTGGTGTGCCTTCTGAATCTGACGAAGGCCATAGACGTTCTTCTGGTGTGCCTTCTGATTCTGATGAAGGCCATCGATGTCCTCCGGTGTGAACGTTCTGCTTCGTATCCTCGCGTCCATCGCACTCTTCAGGAAGTATTCCGAGTTGCATCAGAACTCATCGGGTAACTTGCATTGATCTCGCCGTCCAGGCACGTCCTCGGAGCTTGGGTTGTCTTCCACACATCCTTGCTCCTGCTCGGAGTGCATCAGGAGGAAAGCACGACCATTCATGCGCTGCCATTCCGCTGCCTCACACGCCATTTGCAGCCATTCTCTTTCAGGACTTGGTCGAATTACCAGATGGTTGGGTCCCGAAGTTCTCAGCTTCTCCCAAAATTGTTCTGGACAGGACGGAGCCAAAATGGCCAGCATCCCGTCGCCAATGACAAAACAAGAACTCGACAAACTCGGTGAAACTGCCTCCTGCATCTCATACCGCTTCTCGGGCTCCATGTTTTGTAGTAGACGTCGTGCTTGCCCGTTGGCAAGCTTCTTTTGTGACGTGGTCAAGGCCTTAAGCTTGCCATCATATTCACTCCAGATCACCATGGAAGCCTCATCCTCAAACTGAATAGAGTAGATGCCGTCATCTAACTTCTTGGGCAACCAGCCAACATGCTTTTCCCACTGTCCGTTCATCTCGCTCCATCGGTAAAACACTCGTGACATAGGCATCTCCCACGGTGCAGAGGCTCGCGAACCAAATGTCCGCATCTGTGACCGCCGAGCGGTCGTCATCTAGGCCTTGGATTGCACCAAACACAAGCTCTCGGGCCCGACATCCTCCGGCAATCCATCGCCGGTCAGTCCGCGTGCACGATCTGGAATCCACCATCCGGGCCCTGCGCATACAGCTCGTCCTGAGTCGCCGTCTCGTCCACCCCCATCTGCTGTATGGCCGGAGCATCCAGTCGCCGCTTCAGTTCGGTCTTCTCGATCTCGTCCCATACATAGAACTCGCATAGACGTTTCGCACAGCGGAAGAAGTGCCTCTCCCTGGTGTCGGTCCCGACTTCTTGACCTGCCAGCGGTCGGCTGGCCGCTGGCAGTGGCAAACCACCGCCTTCGGGATGCTGCTCGGACTCTCCGCAGCCATCCCGCCGTTAGAGGCGACATGGTCCCGCTGGTTCCCGAGGTCCTCGGCGGGGTAAAAGGATGCCCATCTCCCCCTCTTTCAACGCATAGCAGGCTAGCAGTTCGACCCAGTCATTGGATGGATTCAAATTCAGCGAACCACGGCGCGAGCATCATCAGCATCAGCTGGAACTCTTTCTGGACTCACAACCCCATCTCCCGCTCTTTCAATGCACAGCAGGCTAGCAGTTCGACCCAGTCACAGGATAGCCGCGGCGCGTTTTTCTGTGGGCTTGATGGGATTGCAGGTTTGGGGTTTAGGGGTTAGCGTTGTGGAGGTTTTAGGCTTTAGGGCCTTCGGTGTTTCAGGGTTTGGAGGCTCGAGGGTCGAGAGATTTTCAGGACTTGAGTGTTGACTGACTTCGTGCGTTGCTTCAGGGCTATACTAGGGTTTCGCGGCTTGGTGTTGAAGACTTCAGGGACTGGATTCAAGGTGGAATTTGTGGGACTTGCGGTTCAGACCGAAGAGTCCAGGTCCAACCCAAAACCGCCCAAACCACTAAGCTTTAAACTCTAAATCTTAAAACATCCCCAAAACTCTAAGCCCTATAGCCCTAAGTGTTCAATTTTGGCTTCAGGGCTTCGAGGCTGGGAGTGCGGAACTTGGGCTTCGGGGTGCGGGGCTCCGACTTGCCGGAGGAGTGCGGCCACACGTTTCCCCCCTCCCCCTGTGGAACTGGACATCCTTCCTTCTCCTGCTGCCCTGGGTCAGTTTATATACAGCTATATAGGCATAACGATATATGTTT